GGGGGCGCCCGGTCCCGTGGGGGGGGGTGGAGGCAGCGGGCCTTGCCCTGCCCGTCCCATCCCCGAGGCGTCTCTTTGTCGGAGGCTCGCCTCTGCCTTCTTCCCTCCTCCCGTCGCTGCCTCTGCGCCTCCGGGCTGCGAGAGCCGCGTTGTGCAGCCTGAACACCCCTCCGCCTCGGCCCCGGCTTGCCCCGTTACCTCGGAAAACGTGGCGATCGCTGCGGGTGTTGCAGTGACTCTTCAAAAAAGTTTACAGGTTTCCTCGCCCCTTTTTAATGGCGTTTGTGTGGTGTTGTAAAGCTCCTGACGAGTGTTATCCTTAGTAACAAAGTTAAGAATGGGTTTGGAAAGTGGAGCTAGGTCGCTTTTGATTTCGAACTGAAGGTTGGCCTGTGGAAGGCTGTCCCTCGAGGTTTGCCGGGCAGGTCAGCTTTCTCTATGTTAGTGCACCCGATGCCCTTAAAGTTCTGTCCCCCCTGAGCTCCGGGATCATGAGGTCATGCAAAAGACCCGTTCAGATGTTTCACCCTAAGAACTATTAAGTACCTCCTAAAGCAGTTTGTCTCGATGCTGCACTTTCTTTAATATATTGAAGCATCTGATGTGAAAGCAATGTGAAAGTCACGTAACATGTATTTGTAGTCAAAGTTTGAAAGGAGAGGATGCTGCTGAAATGAGGCGCGTCGCCAGCTAAGTAGCTGAAATTATCATGTTCTGATGGGAAATTAATTTCTGAAATGTGAGGGTTCTTTTCTAATTCTAAATGAGTCATTTATTATAATTAGTATACTTACTATTTCAGGATGATACAATACTTACCATACTAAAAGTTGAGGAAAAATACTAGGGAGAGCCAATTTCTTCCCCCTTACCTCCCTATGGTTTTATTCTCACAGTGTTTTGAGCTTGCTGTGTAACCAGGACTTCTTCACTGAGGAATTCTCTTGCAATGGAGACTTTACTTGCTTTCGTACTCTTGTTTGTTTTTTGATTGGTGTACCTCCTGAAACAGGAGAGTATTTGCCTTATATACGCAGATGCTCTAGAGCTCTGCTGGGGAAAGGTGTAAGGGATGTTGCTGGTGGAAGCAAAGTGACAATGCCAGTAATACCAATTTTGCTCCTAGGTGAACAGGTTCAAAAGTGAGGAAAGGTAACAGTAAAGCATAGAAGGGGTGGATGGCAAGCAGCAAAATGCAAGAAAACTGTTTTAGCTACTGTCATCATATTAATTTAATAAGTAAACAATAACTAAAATGTGGCTTTGGCAGTGTTTGGCATCCTCCTTGGATTTTCTGTACTACTGTGGTGGTGTTAGGTTTCTTACTGCCTGTATCTTTCAGAAGGGATAAGTACTAAATTATTCCAGTAGAATAGGGTCCCATTTTTGCTTGCCTGCTGTCATATATAGGAATTACTTTAGCAGTGTCCTGCAGGAAGAAGAAAAATAGCTTTCTACCTGACAGAATAGTAACTTCAAAATAATTGTCTGTAATTATACTTTTCTGTTCACGCTCTAACTTTTTTTTGCAAATACAGAGAAATGGAATAATGAGGCACGTAATATATTTTTTACCAATTCCTAATCCATCACATTTCCTATCTGTCACATCAGTGACATGTCTTTGGCTATAGGCTGGCCATGTCAGGATAGGAAACAAGTTTTGTCTCTACCTTACTTGGGTATGCTGTATATATTAAATGGTAGGTGAATGTGAAGAGAAATCTGATTTACTGAAGGGCAAACTTAGTTTTTTGTCTGTATTTTTCTGTTTGGCCCAGCATTCTTCTGACTTTTGATCTGTTATCATCCAGTCCAGTTTGCTGGTATCAACTCACTCTTCTCTGAACACAGAGATGCTTGCTGATTGTTTTGTTGGTGTGTTAGGTGTCATGGGTTTTGCTCAAGGTCTTTCACCCGGACTGAGAAGCATCTGGGAAAACTGTCTCCTTTCTCGCTTTTCTTAATTTTGTCTCTCGCTCCCCACCACCAGCATACAGCAGAAAGGAAACGAAAGGTTTTAAA